CCACGACTTGACCGAGGTAAAGGCTCTGAGTACTGTGAGTGTACCTGCACCTTTCTTTATCTGTGATAAGATTGTTGCTTCATTTTATTTCTTATTCAGACAAATAAAGTTATAGTCATCTGACAATTTACATTCCCACTGAGGCCTGTAATTCCTTGGCTGGGAAAAGAGTGCGGATAAATCTATTATCAACACAGACCTATTTCACAAGGACATTAAAAAAAGCATCATTTACTACTGTAGGTACTTTGGTCAGCATAAAGTTCTCTTTCTTGTTTTTAATGTTTTCTGTTTTTCTTTCAAAGTTCAATTTCTTGAAAAGCAATTTGTTATTGTTGGACACATTGAAATTGAGAGATCTTTTGTGAAACAGACTTTCCACCAGTACACTCTCTGTTTTACTTTGGAGTCACTGGAAAAAAGAGTTTTAGTTATCTGAGGAGACAAACCACATGACAGAATACTTAGTGCAGGAGGTTGAAGATGCTGACACCTCACTCTGTTACCTTCTCTCCAGTCACAGGAATTCGGGGACGCCAGTGAACATGGTAAATATTCAGGGATCAACACTCTGCTGAGGTACAATCCATCGGATAAAGCTGGGGTTTTCTGACTGGCTCTGGTTGGAGAGTGGCCCTGATGCTGGATCCCTACTTGGGGTGCGGGCTGGAGGTGCATGGAAGAGACTGGTCTCCCAGGATAGAATAATATCTTTATTCTATGGTACCTGGAAGCAGCTACATCATTTAGATGCTGTTGGTTTGTGTGAATCGGGCTTGGGGGCGCATGTGTGGGCCGAGTGGTGTGATTCTGATGCTCTGTGTCTGTGTGTGTTTCCTCAGGAGATGTTTCCCTCTTACACAGCACAAGTCACCTGTGAACTTTCTAAACACTTCTTGTCACCACTGCACACTGACTATACATTACTTGATTCATTCCTCAGCTCAGCCATTCCTCATGTTTGGTTAATATTCATTTTCCTCAATTGAAGAAGGTGCTGAGGACAATGGCCCAAGCTGTTGACAATTCTATGTTGAAAAGCCAAACTGAGAACCTAGGCGTGTTCCCAGTGTGACTGCTCTGGACCCCTGACCTTCACTTATCACTCAGCGTTGAAATCCTGGTCATGGGGCAAGGGCTGGCTGCATCTGTGCTTTTGCCTGGAGGTACTAGAGCTCCAGAGATCCAGACCGTGTACATCATCGCAAGAGGGTCTCAGTGGTCAAGGAACCCAGGGCAAATATAACAATTATCACCAACTTTGGCACAGTCATTATCGTCAAAGGCACCTAGGGACTGACATCCTCCTGGTCAGTTCACAGAACTGGGAGTTGTATGCCCTGGTTTAGACAGGACAGGCCAAATCTGTTCGTGCTAGTGTCATTGCTTAACCAAGGACAAAAGCAGATTACCATCAGGGAGATATTTCATTGTACTGGGTGACAACACCATAAGCCTTAGGTCGGTTCAAGCCTACAGCACACTCTCAAGGGCAGGTGTCAAATAGATCTCATGGTGGAGCTTGACAGTCTGTTTGGTGACTTAACTCTAGTAAACCTTGTGCATACCTGAATCCAAGAAAGTCAACGTTTGCCCCAGGCTTTCTCTCCATCGTGAACTGTCCCACTCAATGTATGGCTTCTCTGAGTGTCAGCAGAGACTCATTCAGGGACGCGCAAATGTTGGTTGGACAAGTAAGACTGGCAAGAAACATTACCTGAGTGATTCTAGCCTAATAGCTCTCTGGCAAGTTAGAATTGAATTCAGTCCTCTAGCAGAGACTGCTTTTCATCAAGAACAAAATCTCTCCGAAAACTCAGTAAGTGCAATGGCTGTAACTGAATCCTGGGGAGGCAGTGATCTAGGAAGAAATCCTTCTGGATAGGTGTTGTTTTGCAGAAGACGTAAGCATGCAGGAGGTTCATGAGTCTCTGTCATTGAAAGGTGGCATGCATTTTAGTGTTTCCTATTTTCCGATCTGTGAGGTAATCACTAGTTAAAATGCAGAGGTTCTCTTTCACTATTTCCTGCTCCTCCAATTTGCTCTTATTTATGCAACAAAGAGGATGATTCAACAGCCACTCAGTCCCAAGTTACTAATGCCTTAAGCATACAGTCCACCCCATGCCCCCGCCCCCCAAGAAAGCTTCCTGAGTGGTTAGTGACCAGCTTCTCCTGTTCACCAATGTCTCTTCCTTGTCCCTCTAGCTCCCCAGGCGGATCTGGAAGAGGAAACATGCCACGACTTGACCGAGGTAAAGGCTCTGAGTACGGTGAGTGTACCTGCACCTTTCTTTATCTGTGATAAGATTGTTGCTTCACTTTATTTGTTATTCAGACAAATACAGTGATAGTCATCTGACAATTTACATTCCCACTGAGGCCTGTAATTCCTTGGCTGGGAAAAGAGTGCGGATAAATCTATTATCAACACAGACCTATTTCACAAGGACATTAAAAAAAGACAGCATCATTTACTACTGTAGGTACTTTGCTCAGCATAAAGTTCTCTTTCTTTTTTTAAATGTTTTCTGTTTTTCTTTCAAAGTTCTCTTTCTTGAAAAGCAATGTGTTATTGTTGGACCCATTGAAATGGAGAGATCTTTTGTGAAACAGACTTTCCGCCAGGACACTCTCTGTTGTACTTTGGAGTCACTGGAATAAAGAGTTTTAGTTATCTGAGGAGACAAACCACATGACAGAATACTTAGTGCAGGAGGTTGAAGATGCTGACACCTCACTCTGTTTCCTTCTCCCCAGTCACAGGAATTCGGGGACGCGAGTGAACACAGTAAATATTCAGGGATCAACACTCTGCTGAGGTACAATCCATCGGATAAAGCTGGGGTTTTCTGACTGGCTCTGGTTGGAGAGTGGCCCTGATGCTGGATCCCTACTTGGGGTGCGGGATGGAGGTGCATGGAAGAGACTGATCTCCCAGGATAGAATAATGTCTTTATTCTATGGTACCTGGAAGCAGCTGCATCATTTAGATGCTGTGGGTTTGTGTGAATCGGGCTTGGGGGCGCATGTGTGGGCCCAGTGGTGTGATTCTGATGCTCTGTGTCTGTGTGTGTTTCCTCAGGAGATGTTTCCCTCTTACACAGCACAAGTCACCGGTGAACTTTCTAAACACTTCTTATCACCACTGTACACTGACTATACATTACTTGATTCATTCCTCAACTCAGCCATTCCTCATGTTTGGTTAATATTCATTTTCCTCAATTGAAGAAGGTGCTGAGGACAATGGCCCAAGCTGTTGACAATTCTATGTTGAAAAGCCAAACTGAGAACCTAGGGGTGTTCCAGTGTGACTGCTCTGGACCCCTGACCTTCACTTATCACTCAGCGTTGAAATCCTGGTCATGGGGCAAGGGCTGGCTGCATCTGTGCTTTTGCCTGGAGGTACTAGAGCTCCAGAGATCCAGACCGTGTACATCATCGCAAGACGGTATCAGTGGTCAAGAAACCCAGGGCAAATATAAGCAGATTATCATCAACTTTGGCACAGTCATTATCGTCAAAGGCACCTAGGGACTGACATCCTCCTGGTCAGTTCACAGAACTGGGAGTTGTATGCCCTGGTTTAGACAGGACAGGCCAAATCTGTTCCTGCTAGTGTCATTGCTTAACCAAGGACAAAAGCAGATTACCATCAGGGAGATATTTCATTGTACTGGGTGACAACACCATAAGCCTTAGGTCGGTTCAAGCCTACAGCACACTCTCAAGGGCAGGTGTCAAATAGATCTCATGGTGGAGCTTGACAGTCTGTTTGGTGACTTAACTCTAGTAAACCTCGTGCATACCTGAGTCCAAGAAAGTCAACGTTTGCCCCAGGCTTTCTCTCCATCGTGAACTGTCCCACTCAATGTATGGCTTCTCTGAGTGTCAGCAGAGACTCATTCAGGGACGCGCAAATGTTGGTTGGACAAGTAAGACTGGCAAGAAACATTACCTGAGTGATTCTAGCCTAATAGCTCTCTGGCAAGTTAGAATTGAATTCAGTCCTCTAGCAGAGACTGCTTTTCATCAAGAACAAAATCTCTCCGAAAACTCAGTAAGTGCAATGGCTGTAACTGAATCCTGGGGAGGCAGTGATCTAGGAAGAAATCCTTCTGGATAGGTGTTGTTTTGCAGAAGACGTAAGCATGCAGGAGGTTCATGAGTCTCTGTCATTGAAAGGTGGCATGCATTTTAGTGTTTCTTATTTTCCAATCTGTGAGGTTATCACTAGTAAAAATGCATAGGTTCTCTTTCACTATTTCCTGCTCTTCCAATTTGCTCTTATTTATGCAACAAAGAGGATGATTCAACAGCCACTCAGTCCCAAGTTACTAATGCCTTAAGCATACAGTCCACCCCATGCCCCCGCCCCCCAAGAAAGCTTCCTGAGTGGTTAGTGACCAGCTTCTCCTGTTCACCAATGTCTCTTCCTTGTCCCTCTAGCTCCCCAGGCGGATCTGGAAGAGGAAATATGCCACGACTTGACCGAGGTAAAGGCTCTGAGTACTGTGAGTGTACCTGCACCTTTCTTTATCTGTGATAAGATTGTTGCTTCACTTTATTTCTTATTCAGACAAATAAAGTTATAGTCATCTGACAATTTACATTCCCACTGAGGCCTGTAATTCCTTGGCTGGGAAAAGAGTGCGGATAAATCTATTATCAACACAGACCTATTTCACAAGGACATTAAAAAAAGCATCATTTACTACTGTAGGTACTTTGGTCAGCATAAAGTTCTCTTTCTTGTTTTTAATGTTTTCTGTTTTTCTTTCAAAGTTCAATTTCTTGAAAAGCAATTTGTTATTGTTGGACACATTGAAATTGAGAGATCTTTTGTGAAACAGACTTTCCGCCAGTACACTCTCTGTTTTACTTTGGAGTCACTGGAAAAAAGAGTTTTAGTTATCTGAGAAGACAAACCACATGACAGAATACTTAGTGCAGGAGGTTGAAGATGCTGACACCTCACTCTGTTACCTTCTCTCCAGTCACAGGAATTCGGGGACGCCAGTGAACATGGTAAATATTCAGGGATCAACACTCTGCTGAGGTACAATCCATCGGATAAAGCTGGGGTTTTCTGACTGGCTCTGGTTGGAGAGTGGCCCTGATGCTGGATCCCTACTTGGGGTGCGGGCTGGAGGTGCATGGAAGAGACTGGTCTCCCAGGATAGAATAATATCTTTATTCTACGGTACCTGGAAGCAGCTACATCATTTAGATGCTGTTGGTTTGTGTGAATCGGGCTTGGGGGCCCATGTGTGGGCCGAGTGGTGTGATTCTGATGCTCTGTGTCTGTGTGTGTTTCCTCAGGAGATGTTTCCCTCTTACACAGCACAAGTCACCTGTGAACTTTCTAAACACTTCTTATCACCACTGCACACTGACTATACATTACTTGATTCTTTCTTCAGCTCAGCCATTCCTCATGTTTGGTTAATATTCATTTTCCTCAATTGAAGAAGGTGCTGAGGACAATGGCCCAAGCTGTTGACAATTCTATGTTGAAAAGCCAAACTGAGAACCTAGGCGTGTTCCCAGTGTGACTGCTCTGGACCCCTGACCTTCACTTATCACTCAGCGTTGAAACCCTGGTCATGGGGCAAGGGCTGGCTGCATCTGTGCTTTTGCCTGGAGGTACTAGAGCTCCAGAGATCCAGACCGTGTACATCATCGCAAGAGGGTCTCAGTGGTCAAGGAACCCAGGGCAAATATAACAATTATCACCAACTTTGGCACAGTCATTATCGTCAAAGGCACCTAGGGACTGACATCCTCCTGGTCAGTTCACAGAACTGGGAGTTGTATGCCCTGGTTTAGACAGGACAGGCCAAATCTGTTCGTGCTAGTGTCATTGCTTAACCAAGGACAAAAGCAGATTACCATCAGGGAGATATTTCATTGTACTGGGTGACAACACCATAAGCCTTAGGTCGGTTCAAGCCTACAGCACACTCTCAAGGGCAGGTGTCAAATAGATCTCATGGTGGAGCTTGACAGTCTGTTTGGTGACTTAACTCTAGTAAACCTCGTGCATACCTGAGTCCAAGAAAGTCAACGTTTGCCCCAGGCTTTCTCTCCATCGTGAACTGTCCCACTCAATGTATGGCTTCTCTGAGTGTCAGCAGACACTCATTCAGGGACGCGCAAATGTTGGTTGGACAAGTAAGACTGGCAAGAAACATTACCTGAGTGATTCTAGCCTAATAGCTCTCTGGCAAGTTAGAATTGAATTCAGTCCTCTAGCAGAGACTGCTTTTCATCAAGAACAAAATCTCTCCGAAAACTCAGTAAGTGCAATGGCTGTAACTGAATCCTGGGGAGGCAGTGATCTAGGAAGAAATCCTTCTGGATAGGTGTTGTTTTGCAGAAGACGTAAGCATGCAGGAGGTTCATGAGTCTCTGTCATTGAAAGGTGGCATGCATTTTAGTGTTTCTTATTTTCCAATCTGTGAGGTTATCACTAGTAAAAATGCATAGGTTCTCTTTCACTATTTCCTGCTCTTCCAATTTGCTCTTATTTATGCAACAAAGAGGATGATTCAACAGCCACTCAGTCCCAAGTTACTAATGCCTTAAGCATACAGTCCACCCCATGCCCCCGCCCCCCAAGAAAGCTTCCTGAGTGGTTAGTGACCAGCTTCTCCTGTTCACCAATGTCTCTTCCTTGTCCCTCTAGCTCCCCAGGCGGATCTGGAAGAGGAAATATGCCACGACTTGACCGAGGTAAAGGCTCTGAGTACTGTGAGTGTACCTGCACCTTTCTTTATCTGTGATAAGATTGTTGCTTCACTTTATTTCTTATTCAGACAAATAAAGTTATAGTCATCTGACAATTTACATTCCCACTGAGGCCTGTAATTCCTTGGCTGGGAAAAGAGTGCGGATAAATCTATTATCAACACAGACCTATTTCACAAGGACATTAAAAAAAGCATCATTTACTACTGTAGGTACTTTGGTCAGCATAAAGTTCTCTTTCTTGTTTTTAATGTTTTCTGTTTTTCTTTCAAAGTTCAATTTCTTGAAAAGCAATTTGTTATTGTTGGACACATTGAAATTGAGAGATCTTTTGTGAAACAGACTTTCCACCAGTACACTCTCTGTTTTACTTTGGAGTCACTGGAAAAAAGAGTTTTAGTTATCTGAGGAGACAAACCACATGACAGAATACTTAGTGCAGGAGGTTGAAGATGCTGACACCTCACTCTGTTTCCTTCTCTCCAGTCACAGGAATTCGGGGACGCCAGTGAACATGGTAAATATTCAGGGATCAACACTCTGCTGAGGTACAATCCATCGGATAAAGCTGGGGTTTTCTGACTGGCTCTGGTTGGAGAGTGGCCCTGATGCTGGATCCCTACTTGGGGTGCGGGCTGGAGGTGCATGGAAGAGACTGGTCTCCCAGGATAGAATAATATCTTTATTCTACGGTACCTGGAAGCAGCTACATCATTTAGATGCTGTTGGTTTGTGTGAATCGGGCTTGGGGGCGCATGTGTGGGCCGAGTGGTGTGATTCTGATGCTCTGTGTCTGTGTGTTTCCTCAGGAGATGTTTCCCTCTTACACAGCACAAGTCACCTGTGAACTTTCTAAACACTTCTTATCACCACTGCACACTGACTATACATTACTTGATTCTTTCTTCAGCTCAGCCATTCCTCATGTTTGGTTAATATTCATTTTCCTCAATTGAAGAAGGTGCTGAGGACAATGGCCCAAGCTGTTGACAATTCTATGTTGAAAAGCCAAACTGAGAACCTAGGCGTGTTCCCAGTGTGACTGCTCTGGACCCCTGACCTTCACTTATCACTCAGCGTTGAAACCCTGGTCATGGGGCAAGGGCTGGCTGCATCTGTGCTTTTGCCTGGAGGTACTAGAGCTCCAGAGATCCAGACCGTGTACATCATCGCAAGAGGGTCTCAGTGGTCAAGGAACCCAGGGCAAATATAACAATTATCACCAACTTTGGCACAGTCATTATCGTCAAAGGCACCTAGGGACTGACATCCTCCTGGTCAGTTCACAGAACTGGGAGTTGTATGCCCTGGTTTAGACAGGACAGGCCAAATCTGTTCGTGCTAGTGTCATTGCTTAACCAAGGACAAAAGCAGATTACCATCAGGGAGATATTTCATTGTACTGGGTGACAACACCATAAGCCTTAGGTCGGTTCAAGCCTACAGCACACTCTCAAGGGCAGGTGTCAAATAGATCTCATGGTGGAGCTTGACAGTCTGTTTGGTGACTTAACTCTAGTAAACCTTGTGCATACCTGAGTCCAAGAAAGTCAACGTTTGCCCCAGGCTTTCTCTCCATCGTGAACTGTCCCACTCAATGTATGGCTTCTCTGAGTGTCAGCAGACACTCATTCAGGGACGCGCAAATGTTGGTTGGACAAGTAAGACTGGCAAGAAACATTACCTGAGTGATTCTAGCCTAATAGCTCTCTGGCAAGTTAGAATTGAATTCAGTCCTCTAGCAGAGACTGCTTTTCATCAAGAACAAAATCTCTCCGAAAACTCAGTAAGTGCAATGGCTGTAACTGAATCCTGGGGAGGCAGTGATCTAGGAAGAAATCCTTCTGGATAGGTGTTGTTTTGCAGAAGACGTAAGCATGCAGGAGGTTCATGAGTCTCTGTCATTGAAAGGTGGCATGCATTTTAGTGTTTCCTATTTTCCGATCTGTGAGGTAATCACTAGTTAAAATGCAGAGGTTCTCTTTCACTATTTCCTGCTCCTCCAATTTGCTCTTATTTATGCAACAAAGAGGATGATTCAACAGCCACTCAGTCCCAAGTTGCTAATGCCTTAAGCATACAGTCCACCCCATGCCCCCGCCCCCCAAGAAAGCTTCCTGAGTGGTTAGTGACCAGCTTCTCCTGTTCACCAATGTCTCTTCCTTGTCCCTCTAGCTCCCCAGGCGGATCTGGAAGAGGAAACATGCCACGACTTGACCGAGGTAAAGGCTCTGAGTACTGTGAGTGTACCTGCACCTTTCTTTATCTGTGATAAGATTGTTGGTTCACTTTATTTGTTATTCAGACAAATACAGTGATAGTCATCTGACAATTTACATTCCCACTGAGGCCTGTAATTCCTTGTCTGGGAAAAGAGTGCTGATAAATCTATTCTCAACACAGACCTATTTCACAAGGACATTAAAAAAAGACAGCATCATTTACTACTGTAGGTACTTTGGTCAGCATAAAGTTCTCTTTCTTTTTTTAAATGTTTTCTGTTTTTCTTTCAAAGTTCTCTTTCTTGAAAAGCAATGTGTTATTGTTGGACACATTGAAATTGAGAGATCTTTTGTGAAACAGACTTTCCGCCAGGACACTCTCTGTTGTACTTTGGAGTCACTGGAATAAAGAGTTTTAGTTATCTGAGGAGACAAACCACATGACAGAATACTTAGTGCAGGAGGTTGAAGGTGCTGACACCTCACTCTGTTTCCTTCTCTCCAATCACAGGAATTCTGGGATGCAAGTGAACACGGTAAATATTCAGGGATCAACACTCTGCTGAGGTACAATTCACCTGATAAAGCTGGGGTTTTCTGACTGGCTCTGTTTGGAGAGTGGCCCTGTTGCTGGATCCCTACTTGGGGTGCGGGCTGGAGGTGCATGGAAGAGACTGATCTCCCAGGATAGAATAATGTCTTTATTCTACGGTACCTGGAAGCAGCTGCATCATTTAGATGCTGTGGGTTTGTGTGAATCGGGCTTGGGGGCCCATGTGTGGGCCCAGTGGTGTGATTCTGATGCTCTGTGTCTGTGTGTGTTTCCTCAGGAGATGTTTTCCTCCTACACAGCACAAGTCACCTGTGAACTTTCTAAACACTTCTTATCACCACTGCACACTGACTATACATTACTTGATTCTTTCCTCAACTCAGCCATTCCTCATGTTTGGTTAATATTCATTTTCCTCAAGTGAAGAAGGTGCTGAGGACAATGGCCCAAGCTGTTGACAATTCTATGTTGAAAAGCCAAACTGAGAACCTAGGCGTGTTCCCAGTGTGACTGCTCTGGACCCCTGACCTTCACTTATCACTCAGCGTTGAAACCCTGGTCATGGGGCAAGGGCTGGCTGCATCTGTGCTTTTGCCTGGAGGTACTAGAGCTCCAGAGATCCAGACCGTGTACATCATCGCAAGAGGGTCTCAGTGGTCAAGGAACCCAGGGCAAACATAAGGAGATTATCACCAACTTTGGCACAGTCATTATCGTCAAAGGCACCTAGGGACTGACATCCTCCTGGTCAGTTCACAGAACTGGGAGTTGTATGCCCTGGTTTAGACAGGACAGGCCAAATCTGTTCGTGCTAGTGTCATTGCTTAACCAAGGACAAAAGCAGATTACCATCAGGGAGATATTTCATTATACTGGGTTACAACACAATAAGCCTTAGGTCGGTTCAACCCTGCAGCACACTCTCAAGGGAAGGTGTCAAATAGATCTCATGGTGGAGCTTGACAGTCTGTTTGGTGACTTGACTCTAGTAAACCTTGTGCATACCTGAGTCCAAGAAAGTCAACGTTTGCCCCAGGCTTTCTCTCCATCGTGAACTGTCCCACTCAATGTATGGCTTCTCTGAGTGTCAGCAGACACTCATTCAGGGACGCGCAAATGTTGGTTGGACAAGTAAGACTGGCAAGAAACATTACCTGAGTGATTCTAGCCTAATAGCTCTCTGGCAAGTTAGAATTGAATTCAGTCCTCTAGCAGAGACTGCTTTTCATCAAGAACAAAATCTCTCCGAAAACTCAGTAAGTGCAATGGCTGTAACTGAATCCTGGGGAGGCAGTGATCTAGGAAGAAATCCTTCTGGATAGGTGTTGTTTTGCAGAAGACGTAAGCATGCAGGAGGTTCATGAGTCTCTGTCATTGAAAGGTGGCATGCATTTTAGTGTTTCCTATTTTCCGATCTGTGAGGTAATCACTAGTTAAAATGCAGAGGTTCTCTTTCACTATTTCCTGCTCCTCCAATTTGCTCTTATTTATGCAACAAAGAGGATGATTCAACAGCCACTCAGTCCCAAGTTGCTAATGCCTTAAGCATACAGTCCACCCCATGCCCCCGCCCCCCAAGAAAGCTTCCTGAGTGGTTAGTGACCAGCTTCTCCTGTTCACCAATGTCTCTTCCTTGTCCCTCTAGCTCCCCAGGCGGATCTGGAAGAGGAAACATGCCACGACTTGACCGAGGTAAAGGCTCTGAGTACTGTGAGTGTACCTGCACCTTTCTTTATCTGTGATAAGATTGTTGCTTCACTTTATTTGTTATTCAGACAAATACAGTGATAGTCATCTGACAATTTACATTCCCACTGAGGCCTGTAATTCCTTGTCTGGGAAAAGAGTGCTGATAAATCTATTCTCAACACAGACCTATTTCACAAGGACATTAAAAAAAGACAGCATCATTTACTACTGTAGGTACTTTGGTCAGCATAAAGTTCTCTTTCTTTTTTTAAATGTTTTCTGTTTTTCTTTCAAAGTTCTCTTTCTTGAAAAGCAATGTGTTATTGTTGGACACATTGAAATTGAGAGATCTTTTGTGAAACAGACTTTCCGCCAGGACACTCTCTGTTGTACTTTGGAGTCACTGGAATAAAGAGTTTTAGTTATCTGAGGAGACAAACCACATGACAGAATACTTAGTGCAGGAGGTTGAAGGTGCTGACACCTCACTCTGTTTCCTTCTCTCCAATCACAGGAATTCTGGGATGCAAGTGAACACGGTAAATATTCAGGGATCAACACTCTGCTGAGGTACAATTCACCTGATAAAGCTGGGGTTTTCTGACTGGCTCTGTTTGGAGAGTGGCCCTGTTGCTGGATCCCTACTTGGGGTGCGGGCTGGAGGTGCATGGAAGAGACTGATCTCCCAGGATAGAATAATGTCTTTATTCTACGGTACCTGGAAGCAGCTGCATCATTTAGATGCTGTGGGTTTGTGTGAATCGGGCTTGGGGGCCCATGTGTGGGCCCAGTGGTGTGATTCTGATGCTCTGTGTCTGTGTGTGTTTCCTCAGGAGATGTTTTCCTCCTACACAGCACAAGTCACCTGTGAACTTTCTAAACACTTCTTATCACCACTGCACACTGACTATACATTACTTGATTCTTTCCTCAACTCAGCCATTCCTCATGTTTGGTTAATATTCATTTTCCTCAAGTGAAGAAGGTGCTGAGGACAATGGCCCAAGCTGTTGACAATTCTATGTTGAAAAGCCAAACTGAGAACCTAGGCGTGTTCCCAGTGTGACTGCTCTGGACCCCTGACCTTCACTTATCACTCAGCGTTGAAACCCTGGTCATGGGGCAAGGGCTGGCTGCATCTGTGCTTTTGCCTGGAGGTACTAGAGCTCCAGAGATCCAGACCGTGTACATCATCGCAAGAGGGTCTCAGTGGTCAAGGAACCCAGGGCAAACATAAGGAGATTATCACCAACTTTGGCACAGTCATTATCGTCAAAGGCACCTAGGGACTGACATCCTCCTGGTCAGTTCACAGAACTGGGAGTTGTATGCCCTGGTTTAGACAGGACAGGCCAAATCTGTTCGTGCTAGTGTCATTGCTTAACCAAGGACAAAAGCAGATTACCATCAGGGAGATATTTCATTATACTGGGTTACAACACAATAAGCCTTAGGTCGGTTCAACCCTGCAGCACACTCTCAAGGGAAGGTGTCAAATAGATCTCATGGTGGAGCTTGACAGTCTGTTTGGTGACTTGACTCTAGTAAACCTTGTGCATACCTGAGTCCAAGAAAGTCAACGTTTGCCCCAGGCTTTCTCTCCATCGTGAACTGTCCCACTCAATGTATGGCTTCTCTGAGTGTCAGCAGACACTCATTCAGGGACGCGCAAATGTTGGTTGGACAAGTAAGACTGGCAAGAAACATTACCTGAGTGATTCTAGCCTAATAGCTCTCTGGCAAGTTAGAATTGAATTCAGTCCTCTAGCAGAGACTGCTTTTCATCAAGAACAAAATCTCTCCGAAAACTCAGTAAGTGCAATGGCTGTAACTGAATCCTGGGGAGGCAGTGATCTAGGAAGAAATCCTTCTGGATAGGTGTTGTTTTGCAGAAGACGTAAGCATGCAGGAGGTTCATGAGTCTCTGTCATTGAAAGGTGGCATGCATTTTAGTGTTTCCTATTTTCCGATCTGTGAGGTAATCACTAGTTAAAATGCAGAGGTTCTCTTTCACTATTTCCTGCTCCTCCAATTTGCTCTTATTTATGCAACAAAGAGGATGATTCAACAGCCACTCAGTCCCAAGTTACTAATGCCTTAAGCATACAGTCCACCCCATGCCCCCGCCCCCCAAGAAAGCTTCCTGAGTGGTTAGTGACCAGCTTCTCCTGTTCACCAATGTCTCTTCCTTGTCCCTCTAGCTCCCCAGGCGGATCTGGAAGAGGAAACATGCCACGACTTGACCGAGGTAAAGGCTCTGAGTACTGTGAGTGTACCTGCACCTTTCTTTATCTGTGATAAGATTGTTGCTTCACTTTATTTGTTATTCAGACAAATACAGTGATAGTCATCTGACAATTTACATTCCCACTGAGGCCTGTAATTCCTTGTCTGGGAAAAGAGTGCTGATAAATCTATTCTCAACACAGACCTATTTCACAAGGACATTAAAAAAAGACAGCATCATTTACTACTGTAGGTACTTTGGTCAGCATAAAGTTCTCTTTCTTTTTTTAAATGTTTTCTGTTTTTCTTTCAAAGTTCTCTTTCTTGAAAAGCAATGTGTTATTGTTGGACACATTGAAATTGAGAGATCTTTTGTGAAACAGACTTTCCGCCAGGACACTCTCTGTTGTACTTTGGAGTCACTGGAATAAAGAGTTTTAGTTATCTGAGGAGACAAACCACATGACAGAATACTTAGTGCAGGAGGTTGAAGGTGCTGACACCTCACTCTGTTTCCTTCTCTCCAATCACAGGAATTCTGGGATGCAAGTGAACACGGTAAATATTCAGGGATCAACACTCTGCTGAGGTACAATTCACCTGATAAAGCTGGGGTTTTCTGACTGGCTCTGTTTGGAGAGTGGCCCTGTTGCTGGATCCCTACTTCGGGTGCGGGCTGGAGGTGCATGGAAGAGACTGATCTCCCAGGATAGAATAATGTCTTTATTCTATGGTACCTGGAAGCAGCTGCATCATTTAGATGCTGTGGGTTTGTGTGAATCGGGCTTGGGGGCCCATGTGTGGGCCCAGTGGTGTGATTCTGATGCTCTGTGTCTGTGTGTGTTTCCTCAGGAGATGTTTTCCTCCTACACAGCACAAGTCACCTGTGAACTTTCTAAACACTTCTTATCACCACTGCACACTGACTATACATTACTTGATTCTTTCCTCAACTCAGCCATTCCTCATGTTTGGTTAATATTCATTTTCCTCAAGTGAAGAAGGTGCTGAGGACAATGGCCCAAGCTGTTGACAATTCTATGTTGAAAAGCCAAACTGAGAACCTAGGCGTGTTCCTAGTGTGACTGCTCTGGACCCCTGACCTTCACTTATCACTCAGCGTTGAAATCCTAGACATGGGGCAAGGGCTCCCTGCATCTGTGCTTTTGCCTGGAGGTTCTAGAGCTCCAGAGATCCAGACCGTGTACATCATTGCAAGATGGTCTCAGTGGTCAAGGAACCCAGGGTAAACATAAGGAGATTATCACCAACTTTGGCACAGTCATTATTGTCAAAGGCACCTAGGGACTGACAACCTCCTGGTCAGTTCACAGAACTGGGAGTTGTATGCCCTGGTTTAGACAGGACAGGCCTAATCTGTTCGTGCTAGTGTCACTGCTTAACCAAGGACAAAAGCAGATTACCATCAGGGAGATATTTCATTATACTGGGTTACAACACAATAAGCCTTAGGTCGGTTCAACCCTGCAGCACACTCTCAAGGGAAGGTGTCAAATAGATCTCATGGTGGAACTTGACAGTCTGCTTGGTGACTCGACTCTAGTAAACCTCGTGCATACCTGAGTCCAGGAAATTCAACGTTTACCCCATGCTTCTTCTCCATAGTGAACTGTCCCACTCAATGTATGGCTTCTCTGAGTGTCACCAGACACTCATTCAGGGACGCGCAAATATTGGTTGGACAATTAAGACTGGCAAGAAACGTTACCTGAGTGGTCCTAGCTTAATAGCTATTTGGCAAGTTAGAATTGAATTCTCTCCTCTAGCAGAGACTGCTTTTCATCAAGAACAAAGTCTCTCAGGAAACTCAGTAAGTGCAATAGCTGTAACTGAATCCTGGGGAGGCAGTGATCTAGGAAGAAATCCTTCTGGATAGGTGTTGTTTTGCAGAAGATGTAAACACGCAGGAGGTTCCTGAGTCTCTGTCATTGAAAGGTGGAATGCATTTTCCTCTTAATTTTTTTCCGATCTGTTAGGTTATAACTAGTTAAAATGCAGAGGTTCTCTTTCACTATCTCCTGCTCCACCGATGTGCTCTTATTTATGCAACAAAGAGGATGATTCAACAGGCTCTCAGTCCCCAGTTACTAATTCCTTTATCATATAGTCCAGCCCATGCCCCCGCCCCCCAAGAAAGTTTCCTGAGTGATTGGTGAGCAGCTTCTCCTGTGCGCCAGTGTCTCTTCCTTGTCCCTCTAGCTCCCTGGGAGAATCTGGAAGAGGCAACATTCCACGACTTGACTGAGGTAAAGGCTCTGAGTACTGTGAATGTAACTGCACCTTTCTTTATCTGTGATAAGATTGTTGCTTCACTTTATTTGTTATTCAGACAAATACAGTTATAGTCATCTGATAATTTGCATTCCCACTGAGGTATGTAATTCCTTGGCTGGGAAAAGAGTGCGGATAAATCTATTATCAACACAGACCTATTTCACAAGGACATTAAAAAAAGCATCATTTACTACTGTAGGTACTTTGGTCAGCATAAAGTTCTCTTTCTTGTTTTTAATGTTTTCTGTTTTTCTTTCAAAGTTCAATTTCTTGAAAAGCAATGTGTTATTGTTGGACACATTGAAATTGAGAGATCTTTTGTGAAACAGACTTTCCGCCAGGACACTCTCTGTTGTACTTTGGAGTCACTGGAATAAAGAGTTTTAGTTATCTGAGGACACAAACCACATGACAGAATACTTAGTGCAAGAGATTGAAGATGCTGACACCTCACTCTGTTTCCTTCTCTCCAGTCACAGGAATTCGGGGACGCGAGTGAACACGGTAAATATTCAGGGATCAACACTCTGCTGAGGTACAATCCATCTGATAAAGCTGGGGTTTTCTGACTGGCTCTGGTTGGAGAGTGGCCCTGATGCTGGATCCCTACTTGGGGTGCGGGCTGGAGGTGCATGGAAGAGACTGATCTCCCAGGATAGAATAATGTCTTTATTCTATGGTACCTGGAAGCAACTACATCATTTAGATGCTGTGGGTTTGTGTGAATCGGAATTGGGGGCCCATGTGTGGGCCCAGTGGTGTGATTCTGATGCTCTGTGTCTGTGTGTGTTTCCTCAGGAGATGTTTTCCTCCTACACAGCACAAGTCACCTGTGAACTTTCTAAACACTTCTTATGACCACTGCCCACTGACTATACATTACTTGATTCTTTCCTCAGCTCAGCCATTCCTCATGTTTGGTTAATATTCATTTTCCTCAAGGGAAGAAGGTGCTGAGGACAATGGCCCAAGCTGTTGACAATTCTATGTTGAAAAGCCACACTGAGAACTTAGGGGTGTTCCCAGTGTGACTGCTCTGGACCCCTGACCTTCACTTATCACTCAGCGTTGAAATCCTGGTCATGGGGCAAGGGCTGGCTGCATCTGTGCTTTTGCCTGGAGGTACTAGAGCTCCAGAGATCCAGACCATGTACATCATTGCAAGACGGTCTCTGTGGTCAAGGAACCCAGGGCAAACATAAGGAGATTATCACCAACTTTGGCACAGTCATTATCATCAAAGGCACCTAGGGACTGACACCCTCCTGGTCGGTTCACAGAACTGGGAGTTGTATGCCCTGGTTTAGACAGGGCAGGCCAAATCTGTTCCTGCTAGTGTCATTGCTTAACCAAGGAGAAAAGCAGATTACCATCAGGGAGATATTTCATTGTACTGGGTGACAACACCATAAGCCTTAGTTCGGTTCAACCCTGCAGCACACTCTCAAGGGCAGGTGTCAAATAGATCTCATGGTGGAACTTGACAGTCTGCTTAGTGACTCGACTCTGGTAAACCTCATGCATACCTGAGTCCTAGAAATTCAGCATTTACCCCGTGCTTCCTCTCCATCGTGAACTGTCCCACTCAATGTATGGCTTCTCTGAGTGTCAGCAGACACTCATTCAGGGACGCGCAAATGTTGGTTGGACAATTAAGACTGGCAGGAAACATTACCTGCGTGATTCTAGCCTAATATCTCTTTGGCAAGTTAGAATTGAATTCAGTCCTCTAGCAGAGACTGCTTTTCATAAAGAACAAAATCTCTCTGAAAACTCAGTAAGTGCAATGGCTGTAACTGAATCCTGGGGAGGCAGTGATCTAGGAAGAAATCCTTCTGGATAGGTGTTGTTTTGCAGAAGATGTAAACATGCAGGAGGTTCATGAGTCTCTGTCATTGAAAGGTGGCATGCATTTTAGTGTTTCTTATTTTCTGATCTCTGAGGTTATCACTAGTTAAAATGGAGAGGTTCTCTTACATTATTTCCTGCTCCTCCAATTTGCTCTTATTTATGCAACAGAGAGGATGATTCAACAGCCACTCAATCCCAAGTTACTAATGCCTTAAGCATACAGTCCACCCCATGCCCCCGCCCCCCAAGAAAGCTTCCTGAGTGGTTAGTGACCAGCTTCTCCTGTTCACCAATGTCTCTTCCTTGTCCCTCTAGCTCCCCAGGAGGTTCTGGAAGAGGCAACATGCCACGACTTGACTGCGGTAAAGGCTCTGAGTACTGTGAATGTAACTGCACCTTTCTTTATCTGTGATAAGATTGTTGCTTCACTTTATTTGTTATTCAGACAAATACAGTTATACTCATCTGATAATTTGCATTCCCACTGAGGCATGTAATTCCTTGGCTGGGAAAAGAGTGAGGATAAATCTATTATCAACACAGACCTATTTCACAAGGACATTAAAAAAAGACAGCATCGTTTACTACTGTAGGTACTTTGTTCAGCATAAAGTTCTCTTTCTTGTTTTTAATGTTTTCTTTTTTTTTTTTTTTGAAAGTTCTCTTTCTTGAAAAGCAGGGTGTTATAGTTGGACACATTGAAATTGAGAGATCTTTTGTGAAACAGACTTTCCGCCAGGACACTCTCTGTTGTACTTTGGAGTCACTGGAATAAAGAGTTTTAGTTATCTGAGGAAACAAACCACATGACAGAATACTTAGTGCAGGAGGTTGAAGATGCTGACACCTCACTCTGTTTCCTTCTCTCCAATCACAGGAATTCTGGGACGCAAGTGAACACGGTAAATATTCAGGGATCAACACTCTGCTGAGGTACAATCCATCTGATAAAGCTGGGGTTTTCTGACTGGCTCTGGTTGGAGAGTGGCCCTGATGCTGTATCCCTACTTGGGGTGCGGGCTGGAGGTGCATGGAAGAGACTGATCTCCCAGGATAGAATAACGTCTTTATTCTATGGTACCTGGAAGCAACTACATCATTTAGATGCTGTGGGTTTGTGTGAATCGGGCATGGGGGCCCATGTGTGGGCCCAGTGGTGTGATTCTGATACTCTGTGTCTGTGTGTGTTTCCTCAGGAGATGTTTCCCTCTTACACAGCACAAGTCACCTGTGAACTTTCTAAGCACTTCTTATCACCACTTCCCACTGACTATATATTACTTGACTCTTTCCTCAGCTCAGCCATTCCTCACGTTTGGTTAATATTCATTTTCCTCAAGTGAAGAAGGTGCTGAGGACAATGGCCCAAGCTGTTGACAATTCTATGTTGAAAAGGCAAACTGAGAACCTAGGTGTGTTCCCACTGTGACTGCTCTGGACCCCTGACTTTCACTTATCACTCAGCGTTGAAAGCCTAGTCATGGGGTAAGGGCTGGCTGCATCTGTGCTTTTGCCTGGAAGTACTAGAGCTCCAGAGATCCAGACCGTGTGCATCATTGCAAGGTGGTCTCAGTGGTCAAGGAACCCAGGGCAAATATAAGCAGATTATCACGAACTTTAGCACAGTCATTACTGTCAAAGGCACCTAGGGACTGACATCCTCCTAGTCAGTTCACCGAACTGGGAGTTGTATGCCCTGGTTTAGACAGGACAGGCCAAATCTGTTCGTGCTAGTGTCATTGCTTAACCAAGGACAAAAGCAGATTACCATCAGGGAGATATTTCATTGTACTGGGTGACAACACCATAAGCCTTAGGTCGGTTCAGCCCTGCAGCACACTCTCAAGGGAAGGTGTCAAGTAGATCTCCTGGTGGAACTTGACAGTCTGCTTGGTGACTCGACTCTAGTAAACTTCGTGCATACCTGAGTCCAAGGAAGTCAGCGTTTGCCCCAGGCGTCCTCTCCATAGTGAACTGTCCCACTCAATGTATGGCTTCTCTGAGTGTCAGCAGACACTCATTCAGGGACGCGCTAATGTTGGTTGGACAATTAAGACTGGCAAGAAACATTACCTGAGTGGTTCTAGCTTAATAGCTATTTGGCAAGTTAGAATTGAATTCAGTCCTCTAGAGGAGACTCCTTTTCATCAAGAACAAAGGCTCTCAGAAAACTCAGTAAGTGCAATAGCTGTAACTGAATCCTGAGGAGGCAGTGATCTAGGAAGAAATCCTTCTGGATAGGTGTTGTTTTGCAGAAGATGTAAACACGCAGAAGGTTCCTGACTCTCTGTCATTGAAAGGTGGCATGCATTTTAGTGTTTCTTATTTTCCGATCTGTGAGGTAATCACTAGTTAAAATGTAGATGTTCTCTTTCACTATTTCCTGCTCCTCCAATTTGCTCTTATTTATGCAACAAAGAGGATGATTCAACAGCCACTCAGTCCCAAGTTACTAATGCCTTAAGCATACAGTCCACCCCATGCCCCCGCCCCCCAAGAAAGATTCCTGAGTGGTTAGTGACCAGCTTCTCCTGTTCACCAATGTCTCTCCCTTGTCCCTCTAGCTCCCCAGGCGGATCTGGAAGAGGCAACATGCCACGACTTGACTGAGGTAAAGGCTCTGAGTACTGTGAATGTAACTGCACCTTTCTTTATCTGTGATAAGATTGTTGCTTCACTTTATTTGTTATTCAGACAAATACAGTTATAGTCATGTGACAATTTGCATTCCCACTGAGGCATGTAATTCCTTGGCTGGGAAAAGAGTGAGGATAATTCTATTATCAACACAGACCTAATTCACAAGGACATTAAAAAAAGACAGCATCATTTACTACTGTAGGTACTTTGCTCAGCATAAAGTTCTCTTTCTTCTTTTTAATATTTTCTTTTTTTTTTTTTTGAAAGTTCTCTTTCTTGAAAAGCAGTGTGTTATAGTTGGACACATTGAAATGGAGAGATCTTTTGTGAAACAGACTTTCCGCCAGGACACTCTCTGTTGTACTTTGGAGTCACTGGAATAAAGAGTTTTAGTTATCTGAGGAGACAAACCACATGACAGAATCCTTAGTGCAGGAGGTTGAAGGTGCTGACACCTCACTCTGTTTCCTTCTCTCCAATCACAGGAATTCTGGGACGCAAGTGAACACGGTAAATATTCAGGGATCAACACTCTGCTGAGGTACAATCCATCTGATAAAGCTGGGGTTTTCTGACTGGCTCTGGTTGGAGAGTGGCCCTGATGCTGGATCCCTACTTGGGGTGCGGGCTGGAGGTGCATGGAAGAGACTGATCTCCCAGGATAGAATAATGTCTTTATTCTATGGTACCTGGAAGCAACTAAATCATTTAGATGCTGTGTGTTTGTGTGAATCGGGCTTGGGGGCCCATGTGTGGGCCCAGTGGTGTGATTCTGATGCTCTGTGTCTGTGTGTGTTTCCTCAGGAGATGTTTTCCTCCTACACAGCACAAGTCACCTGTGAACTTTCTAAACACTTCTTATCACCACTGCCCACTGACTATACATTACTTGATTCTTTCCTCAGCTCAGCCATTCCTCATGTTTGGTTAATATTCATTTTCCTCAAGTGAAGAAGGTGCTGAGGACAATGGCCCAAGCTGTTGACAATTCTATGTTGAAAAGCCAAACTGAGAACCTAGGGGTGTTCCCAGTGTGACTGCTCTGGACCCCTGACCTTCACTTATCACTCAGCGTTGAAATCCTGGTCATGGGGCAAGGGCTGGCTGCATCTGTGCTTTTGCCTGGAGGTACTAGAGCTCCAGAGATCCAGACCGTGTACATCATTGCAAGACGGTCTCAGTGGTCAAGGAACCCAGGGCAAATATAAGCAGATTATTACCAACTTTGGCACAGTAATTATCGTCAAAGGCCCCTAGGGACTGACATCCTCCTAGTCAGTTCACAGAACTGGGAGTTGTATGCCCTGGTTTAGACAGGACAGGCCAAGTGTGTTCGTGCTAGTTTCATTGCTTAACCAAGGACAAAAGCAGATTACCATCAGGGAGATATTTAATTGTACTGGGTGACAACACCATAAGCCTTAGGTCAGTTCAACCCTGCAGCACACTCTCAAGGGCAGGTGTCAAATAGATCTCATGGTGGAACTTGACAGTCTGCTTGGTGTCTTGCCTCTAGTAAACCTCGTGCATACCTGAGTCCAAGAAAGTCAACGTTTGCCCCAGGCTTTCTCTCCATAGTGAACTGTCCCACTCAATGTATGGCTTCTCTGAGTGTCAGCAGACACTCATTCAGGGACACGCAAATGTTGTTTGGACAATTAAGACTGGCAAGAAACGTTACCTGAGTCGTTCTAGCTTAATAGCTATTTGGCAAGTTAGAATTGAATTCTGTCCTGTAGTAGAGACTGCTTTTCATCAAGAACAAAGTCCCTCAGAAAACTCAGTAAGTGCGATAGCTGTAACTGAATCTTGGGGAGGCAGTGATGTAGGAAGATGTCCTTCTGGATAGGTGTTGTTTTGCAGAAGATATAAGCACACAGGAGGTTCCTGAGTCTCTGTCATCGAAAGATGGCATGCATTTTAGTGTTTCTTGTTTTCCAAAAATGCCGATGTTCTCTTTCATTTCTTTCATGCTCCTCTCATTTTTACTCCTTCATCTAGCAAAAAGGATGATTCATCAGCAGCTTATTACATATTTAGTTAGCTCCCTCATGCATACTCTACACCCCTTGTCCATCTCAAAAAAGAGTAAAAGCTGAGTGATTGTTGAATAGCCTCACCAGTGTCCTAACAGCTACTCTGTCCCTGTAGCTCCCGAGGAATACGTTGTGGAGGAACTGTGCTTTCTATAATCAACTGTCCCACTCAACCGATGGCCCCTGTGCATATGGACAACTACTGGATCAGTGGAAATTCACACACTTTATAGAAAATGAATATTGATAGATAAATTCTGTATTATTCATAATGGCTATTTTTAAGTGCTAGGAATTCAGAAATATAAAATCTTGTGTATTTGCTTTTCTTTAAGACAATTAATTAGTGAATTAATAGCATAGTATACTTTGCCAGGATTGAATTCAGTCCTGTAACCGAGTTTACTTTAAATCAATTACAAAACCTTATAGAAGTCATGATGAACAGAGTAGCAGCAACTGTGGCTCTCAGAGGAAGAGTGATCTGGGAAAAATCAAGAGACAGTGGCAATTTACCCGAAGCTCACAATGAGCAGGAGCAGTCATGGTCTCTCTCACTGAACAGTACTTACATTTTAGAGTTTTCCATGTTTTAGGTTGAATATTTCCTTTTGATTAGGCTCCTCTAGCTAGAAGGCCAACGATCTGCATTCATTTCCTTCCACCTCTCCTTTACTTTCCTTCCTCCTCCAAAGAGGATGGATGAACACAAGTTCAGTCCATGCTTATTAACCTCCCACATCCATACACACCACCCCATGTCCACACAAAGAGAAAACCCCCTGCATGATTCCTGAGCAGCCTCACCGCTGTTCTAACAGCTACTCTGTGTCCCTCTAGGTTTCACTGAGGACCTGCCAGTCAACCCAGCTTGTGACAAGACAGAGGAGACTCCATGTGCCTCCAAGGAAAGACTTTTTTCCTTTTTTCTGGTCTGAAATAGAAATATTGTTTCCTTTCTTTTTAAGTACAATTAAGTTGTGCATCTTTGAAGGTGTTCCTTTCAGACAGAGGCGATTTCCTTGGTTGGGATAATGTGAAGTGATATACTTATTACCAAATCATGATGCCTCAGTCCACAGGATATTAAAATTGTTAGCATCCATTACACCCTGTAGAGTACAGAGTTCTCTCTCCTGCAGCAAGATTTCCTCTAAGAAAAGAATTCTGCAATTTCCAATCCAAATGAACTTGGAAGTTCCATCCTCCAGGCAAAGGTCTTGCCTTTCATCCTGAGTATGTGTGTTCTGATAGTGATGGGTTCCGTGGACTTCACCACTGTTCCTCATCAGGAACTGTCACCAAATGAACCAAAGACTGTGCATCTATGTGATCTTATCCTCATAGTGTCTTCTCTTCTGTACTTGCAGGTAGCTCTTTCAGAATGTGAAAGTCGTATGTATTCTAGAATCATTCATTTTAGAAGAAAAATTTGTAGATGAGAAAGTTGGGGCTTTCTCTCTGGTTTTAGTGTAGAGGCCAAACTGATTCAAAATTCATGGGGGCAATGAGTATAGGGGCCTTCATGATAGAAAGTAATTTATAAGTAGAGCAATGTGGCTGATTACTGTAGTCCCAGGAAGAAGCTGTGTTATGGTTAATAGTGTGGGTTTTTGTCCATGGGATTGGGTGTATATCTGTGTGTAATGAACAGTGTGATTCTTCATGTGTCTGTGAATGTTTTTGTCTTGTGTTTTCCTCAATATTTGTCACCCTAAATGTCACTGTTACTGGTGTCAACTTCCCCCGAAAATTTCCCATCACCATGAGCCATTAATGAGTATATATGTGTGTGTGTGTGTGTGTGTGTGTGTGTGTGTGTGTGTATAAAATTAAGCCAAGTATACACATTCACTGTATCCATTGATTTTATACCAAGTGAACATCCATTACCCTGAAAGACACATCCCGTCCCTACCCAGGAAAATGTTCACCCTGGAGTCTTTTTAACTTTTCTTAATTTATTCTTGGCTCTGCTGGGTCTTCGTTGCTGCGCAGGGTTTCCTCTGCTTGTGGAGAGTGAGGGCATCTCTCGCGTTGCGGTGTGCACGCGTATCACTTTAGTGCTTCTTTTGTTGCAGAGTGTGGCTTCTAGGGCTCTTGGGCTTCAGTAGTTTCAGAAGCTGGGCTCTGTGCTTGTGCCTCCTGGACTCTAGAACGCGGTTCAGTCCTTGTGGTGCACCAGCAGGTTTAGGTTCTGCGAGGCATGTGGACTCTTTCCAGACCAGGGATTGAGCTCGTATCTCCTGCATTGGCATGTGGATTCTTACCCATTGATGCACCAGTGAAGCCCTGTATGATTCTTAGAAAACAAGACCATGTTTCAGTATCTCCCTCCTGGGTCCGTCACCCCTTCATTTAATCATAAATCCCATTTCTTAATAGGTCTTGTAGCATTTTGTTTGGTCATGATTCATCACTCCGCCGTTTCCCTCATTCAAACTCTTTCCTATTACAGCCTCAGAATGAATCTCACCCCCTCAATCAAGGCCCCCAGTACTGGGGAGGCTCTTTCCTTCTGCAGGGAGCCCCTGGTGGTACCCACATGCCACACCTAGGTCTAGAGGAATCTGAGAAAAAAGGAACCTAAAAGCATAGATGAAGTTCAGTCCAGCTTTGCCTCTTAAGCTTTGAAGTGTCCAGTCAGGCCTGTTAATTCAATGCCCTGTGTTTTTCAGCTTGTCTCTAGAACTTTTCCATCCTGCAACAAAAATTTTATAACCATTGAACAGACACTCCCTCTGTCAACCTCCTCCCAGTTCTTGGAACCACCCTTCTACTCTCTGCTTCTCTGAATTTTCCTTCAGATACATCAGGTAAATGGAATTGTGCAGTATTTGTCCTCCTTTGACCTCCTTATTTCACTCTTACCAATATCCTCGAGCTTCATTCACGGTGCTGCAAATGACAAGATGTCCTTCATTTTAAAATGCTGAAACACCTTGCAGTGTATGTATACACCACATTTTCTTTTTGATTTATCTGCCCGTGGACACTGGGCAGTTTTCTTGGATTTTGTGTACAATACAGCAATGGATACATGATTGTAGATATCTCCTGGATATTCTCATTTTATCTTCTTTGGACATAAACTCAAAAGAGTGATTCCTGGATCTTATGATCGTTCTCTTAACATTATTTTCTTTTTATAATACACAGCCTGAAAGGTGATATCTCCTTTTGACTTGGTTTCTATTTCACTGATACTTAGTGATGTTGAGCACTATGCCTATGAATATTGGTCACTTCTCTGTCTTCTATGAAGAAATATCTATTGAAGCCTTTTACACATCTTTTATTTTTTTTAAGTCGGTTATTTGCCTGTTGTTGTTTTGAAGTTGAGCTGTAGTAGTTGCTATATATTCTGAATATTGGCCCATTATGCAGATACAAAGTTTGCAGATACTTCTTCTCATTTCATCAGTTTACCTTTCTGCTGATTGTTGAGGAGACCATCCTTTCTTTACATGGTCA